AGAAGGTAGAGGGCATCCCATTACTCACATAATCCTGGGGGTATTCCATTCATGACTTCATACCTAGCCATGTACTATTTTCCACATGGTTTTCTCAGGAAGTGTTCTTAGTGTCTGTTATTCAGTCAAAAGTTTTGTATATCACATATAATGGTATATTTATTATGTTGTCACATGGTACATGATTGCAACTCCATAAAAACTCATATTTATATATACACACACACACAAAACTACACAGATATATACACACACATATATACAGACAAACACATCTGTATATATAGATAAAAGTGAGAAGAAAAACATAGAACAAATATATTTAATTTGTTAGTAATGGGATTATAGGTAGTATTTTTAAATAAAAATTTTTTTAACATTTAGAAGTGATTTATTTAAAGGAAACAATAATGAATTAGTGCGTCACGATACTTCAACTAACCAGAATACACACAAAATTGAGCATCGCAGACAATGGAAGGAAACATTCATAATCATTTAAAATACTTCAAAAACCCACGCCTGTAATCCCAGCTACTTGGGAGGCTGAGGCAGGAGAATCGCTTGAACCTGGGAGACAGAGGTTACAGTGAGGGGAGACTGCACCACTGCACTCCAGCCTGAGTGATAGAGTGAGACTTCGTCTCAATATCAATCAATCAATCAATAAAAATAAAATACTTCACAAACCTACTAATTTTAAAAATACATTTTTTATTGATACCTGATTTCTGTACATATTTATGGGCTACGTGTGATATTTTGTTACGTGGATAGAATATATTACAATCAAGTCAGGGTATTTAGGGTATCCATCACCTCAAATATTTACCATTTCTTTGTGTTGGGAACATTTCAAGTCCTCTCTTCTAGCTATTCTGAAATACGTAACACACCGTTATTAACTATAGTCACCCTATCCTGCTTTAGAACATTTAAACTTATTTCTTCTCTGTAACTGTATGTGCTCAGTAACCAACACCTCTCACCACCCCCAACACCTTTTCCAGCCTGATAACTATCAGACTACCTCTCTACCTCCATAAATTTTTATCAACTTTTTTTGTTTTTAGTTCCCACTTATGAGCAAGAACAAAAAGCAAGTTAATTTTGTCTCTGCCAGGATAGATAAGAAATGTACCCTCTGGCCTGTCTCTGGAGAAAGGCACAAGGTAGCTATGGGGAAGAAGTAGGAGGGAGATCTTCCATTCTATACCATTTTGGTACCTTTTGTATTAGAAATTCATGTAGCTCATTGCCAACAAAAAGAAACATAGAAAAAAATGTATACTCATCTTCCTTGCCTCCGTACGGGAAGTAGGATTACCATGATTCTTGAATTTTTGTTTCCTTATTTTAAAAATTCTCCACCTCTATTTTATATGGATCATTTGCAAAACACAGGTATGTAAGTAAACAACTTCCCTAAATTATCTTTCAATGCAGTTTAATACCATATATTTGACAATTTTTAAGATAACAGCTTTATCTGGGCATTGTGAAACGTTCGAGAAAGTGTAAAATACGGAGAACCTATATTTTTTTAGATGATGGAAAACATAAAGAAGTATGTAGTAGGGCAAACTCAAAGTTGTGCACATGAAATTATTACTGCAATGCCTAGCATAGACACAAATAAATAATTCAACTAGACAAGATCAGAGTGTGCTAGAATATAAAGATAGAGAAGATTTTATGCAATGTTGTTATTAGTTAGGTCATATCAAGCTGCAGTAACATATTCATCCTAATGTTTTTAATGATTAAACAACAATGTACTTGCTTATCTCTCATATAGCAGTCCAGGTTTGGTTTGGGGTTAGTTGAGTGACCCTTTTCCATAATTGGAAAGAATTCACACTGGAGGTTGCTTTGTCTCTATCAATGTGACCTCATCTAACCCAGTCAGCCGAGGGGAAAAGAGCACATAGAAGCATGGGAACACTCTTGTGTGAGTCCATTCCTAAAAGTGCACACACCCTTTTTTCTCACACTCCACTAGCTGTGGCTCAGCAACAAGACCCCACCACACTACATGAGATGCAGGGCTAGCCACACAGTTGACCCTTCCTTGCAATGGAGAAATAGAAGATTTTGATGGACAGCTGGGAGTTTCTATCACAGTTATGAAGCATCAATTACTGGGAGGAATAAAGAGGTCCAGAAATGGCTTTGCCCAAGCAGGAAAAGCAGTCAGTATAACCAGGCTGTTAAACCTAGTTAGGCCTCCATTTCTTCAGCTGATAAACAAAACTTATTCTAGATGTTTCCTAAAATTGTTTCTAGCTTCTAAGTTTCTGTGCTTCTGAGAGCTAACATTCTGTGTGTATTATGTTCAGCTGAAGCAAAGTGCTCATGTTTGAATGATGCACGATAACTCTTATGATATAGGTAGAGTGGGTCTTGAATAATGACAGTATTGCACTGGAGATTTTTTTAAAAATCAAGCAACAGATATTGATCAAGTACCTAGTTGTGCTGGTTAATTTTAAGTGTTAACTTGACTGGGTGAAAGGATATCCATCTAGCTGGTAAAACGTTATTTTTAGGGGTGTGAGGGTGTTTCTGGAAGAGATTAGCATTTAAATCAGTAGACTGAGTAAAGAAGATCCATCCTTAGCAATATGGGTAGGGACCATCCTATCTAGTGAGGGCCTGAATAGAACACAAAGGTGAAGGAACAGTGAGTCTGCTCTTACTCTCTTTCTGAGCTGGGACACCCACATTCTTCTGACGTTGGACATTGGAACTCCTAGTCTCGGGCCTTTGACCTTGAACCATGAGCTTCCCTGATTCTCCAGCTCACAGATGGCATATGATGGGACTTCCTAGCCTCCATAATTGTGTGGGCCAATTTTCTCCACGTATAATACATCTTTTCGTACATTTTTCTACATATCATATTGGTTCCATTTCTCTGGAGAACTCTGACTAACGTACTATTACATACCATACACTTTACCAGGCACTGTGGAGGACACAAAAGAGTTAATCCATTATTTTAGAGAATAGATTAAGTACTACTGATGCACCTCAACTTATCACAGGGTTAGGTCCTGATAAACCCATTGTAAGTTGAAAATCCTAAACTGAAAATGCATTTAATACACCTAATCTACCAATCATCATAGCTCAGCCTAGCCTACTTTTAATGTGCTCAGATACTTACATTAAGACTATAATTGGGTAAAATAATCTAACTCAAGGCCTATTTTATAATAAGTGGTGAAAGTTTTATGTAATTTATTGAATACTTTTCTGAAAGTGAAAAACAGAATGGTTGTACGGGCACTCAAAATGCTGTTTCCACTGAATGCTTGTGACTTTTGCACCATTGCAAAGTTGAAAAATCTTAAGTTGAACCATTGTATATCAGGGACTGTCTGTATTTATGGGACAGTTGAGTTGAATGAAGAAAAGGGAAGTTTAAAAATGAAGCAGAATAGGATGTGTTCCCAGGGTTCCAGACCTCACAATATGGTGTAGGAGATTGGGGTGAATATGAAATGATCTTTGAGTGTCATCTACAAAACTTTTCTGAAAAAAAAAGAATCTCTAATATGAGCTTGTTTTCCTGATTTGTCTCTTGCAATTGGCAACATTAAAGTAGCATTCATTGAGAGTTCTGATTAATCAACATCGAGTTAACTTCAGTTTCACTGCAAGTAAGAATGCACAACTCCATCCTCTGTATTTTACAGGCCAGTTTGTTAATTTAAAATTCTTTATGAGGTGAAATCAAACCTTTAGACAATCAAGGTATTCTCCAAAACATCCCAATTTCTATGAAAATATATTCTCAGGTGCCATAATCACCTGAAAACTGCCCAATGTAGTGTTCTACTGCTGTTAATTATTAGCCAGTCATATTGTTAACATATTCCAGGGCTCTTATCTTTGGGATATAAGGATTTAACCTGACTTACTTTGGGTTTGTCTTGACTTACTTTTCTGTAGTTTCAGTTTTTGAAAATGTTGTGACGTAGAGAAATTACTATCCTAAATATTTTAGGGGGGGCAGTATTTTCACCATTTTCAGGTTTAGCTTTGGCTACTGGGTCCTCTCTTGTTATCAACTAATTGTAACTATTTTTGTTTTCTTGAATACCTGCTGCAATTTACATTTCTTATGTAACACGGGACCTGGGACTAAGAGTCAGGAAAAATGCATTTCAGTTGGGTTTGCCGTTTACTAGTGGGCACATCATTACCCTCATGGGGACTTGGATTTACATGTCTGTCAAATAAGGGGATTAAGTAGATATTATAGGTTGCACTCTTTTTGAAATATTACTCTTTCGTATGTTAATATGACTATATGTTTAAATGTTCCATTGCTTTAATTTTTAAACAGTTTGTGAATGGGCACAAAATTAGCTTTCATGAATGTCCCTTTCCTCAACAGCAGTACTGAAAGGCAAAAAATGGTTTTGTGGAAATGTGTTTGTATGCTTAAGTGGGCTCTGATTTATATTGTGACAAGTCCCATTACTGACAATTGTGTATACTTTGAAATGAAATTATAACTTAGGAATATATGTGGCATATATTCTACTCCAATTTTAAAAAACAGTTTATGGTAAACTTTAAAAAATTCCACAAACCCTGCTAACATCTAAGAATTGTATAAATTGATGTACAGGTTCTTTTTTTCTAGCACAGAAATAATGTTTACATCTCTTAACTTTTGAACATCAGATAGTTTCAAATCTCATTATTTCCTGTGAAAACAATACTAGTCATAATGGCAGCTCTCAAGTATAGAGCTCTTTCTTACTAGATGCCATGCTATGTACAAAATGTTTTATGTGAGTTATCCTTTCACCCTACTTTCAAATCTCCACAGCCAAGCTGCTTATTTAATATATAAGAGAAACCTTCATGTTCAATTGGGATCACACACACACACACACACACACACATGCACAAAACAAGCCCTTATGAGGAAAAGAAACAAGGAGAACAGAGTCTTTAAAAAATAACCACCCAGGAGTCATGTGACAGATCTAGCAAATTCTTTTTATTTACATAGAAATGTGTACACATACTTTTTCTGTACACAGAAAATTCTAAGTATATATATACATATATGGTTCCCACATATTTTACAATAAATAATATTTTACTCTTGTTTCTAGGTGAAAATAAAAAGATATCTCAAAATATTACTCACCAACCACAAAATTACAAAAACACGTGGTGAACTCAGAGCAAGAATTTCAAGCCTGCACTACCACACACTAAGCCTAGTACAATTTTTACAAAAGACAAAAATTGAACACTGAAGATATTGCCAGTAAAAGGAAAGGAATGAAGATGTAAAATAGAGTACGGAGCTCTTGGTTTTTTGAACAGTGTGGTAAGACTATTTTTTGTTGTTTAGGGCTTATCTTCCTTTAGTCCTCAATTTAGTGTTTTACTTTAATTAATATTTTACAGATAAGAAGGGAGAAAGAAGTTAACATCTATTGTATAAAGAGTGACAATTCCATGTGTGTCCTGAGTTCTGGAAGTCTTTTTCCTGGCCAACCAGACCCTCTTTCTGTTTTAATTTAATGATTATCCAGTTCTACCATATAGGATTGCCATTCGCTCCCTCAGAGAAGATGAGAAGGGCACCGATTGTGAAGTGACATTATTTTGGAAGTCATTTCAAAAGTCTGATAAGCCAGGTACCTTGGTTGTCAGCACTTAATAATTAGAAATGCTTAAATATAACGCAGTATTTCCACATAGAGTTTGATCCCTCATTCAAATATTAACTAAATGCAAGGAGAATTAATCTGGGAGGCTAGAAATAATGAATACATAATCCAGGAATTTCCTTCCTCCACTTAACACTCTTTTTGCTATTCTAGTCTAGGAAACAAGCACTTTCAACTTCAGAGTTGTTCCACCCATGTGTAAACAATCACACTATCAAATGAATTGAATAAGGCTCTAAGCTATAGGATACATACAAATTGTGTCAGCTTTTGATTAATGCCACAGCATTTGAATTTATTAGAAGAGTCTAAAAGCATCATGCTCTTTGTTATTGTTGAACCGACTTATTCTCAGATTTGCTTTCCCAATACATCAGTATTCAGACTCAGAGGGGAATCATACCAATGGTGACCAACACAGGGCTAGGTGTAAACCACATTCCACGCAATTCTAGCTCAGATGATAATGAACTTGGTTCCACTGTGGCACTGTAACTTCACACACGAGTTTTGAAACAAATTTTATCCCTTTATCTCTCATATCAATAACAGCACAGATGGGTAGGGGAAAGACAGAAATAAAAAACAAAGTTCCAATGTCAGAAAGACAATTCATCTATCAAATACAATCTTTTCCTTTACTGCATCTGCTATTTTTGTGGTAACCTTCCAAAACATATTTCAAAGGCAGGCTCATTTCAAGAGCAATGTTTATCACATGCATAATTTGGTTCCTTCTTGTCACACATTCCTGCCACTGATGTTTCTTTCAGAGAAACAATAAGATTTCTAGAACTTAGTCATCTTGCATGAAAGGGATGGTTTCATAAACAATTTAACTTTTTAGATAAAAGTACTTACAATAGAAACAAACAAATTTCACATTTAAAGATATCTCTTTTTCTTTTTTTAAATTTGAAAACCTGATAGGGAACTACTGCTCACTGCCAGAAACAAAAAGGGATCCTTTACCATAAAAAGCTGGGCTTGTTTCTTGGTCATTCTAATTAAATATATATATATGTCCCTCATTTCCACCACTGCAGGAAGATCAGCCAGAAGATAAGTATGGGGTCTCACTATGGTAATTGTAGTCAGGGCACACCTTTTGCACGAGTTTATAATCAACACTGTAAAAGGCAATGTAAATGCAAATGACCTTGAAGGGCTTGGAGCACAACCAAGACACATGGCTCTGAGTCTGCTCCTGGTAGCAGATCTTGGATGGGTCAAAGTTGCACAGGGCGGTCTTTTTCGCCCGATCTGTTTTTTCATACTCAATGCGACAATTGAAAGATTTGGATTCCTTGGTCTCCAAGGTAGACTGGGGGGAGACTTCAAATTCCACCACCTTGGAGGGTGGTACCAAGCTCACTGAAACATTGCCCAGGCCTGTTGAATTATGTCGGAAATACACACTGAAGGTTCCATTTCCATGGTCAACAATTTTCCCTGTGATGAGGAGATTGAGTTTGACAGTTTTAATGTTGGAATGAAAGTCACCCCATCCAAACATTTTCTTAAATTTTCCTGTTTTAACTATTGGCCTCCGTTTAGTTCTTGCCAATGGCTCCTGAACCTCCGTGATGTTGGCCAGCCAATCCCAAAAGTTTTCCATGCTGTCTGCATACGCCATGGGGCCCGGCTTGGGCACGGGAGACTGTTTAACAAACAGGCGCAGGGGACTGATGATCCTCGAGTGCACCACGTTGCCGACCAACGTCCCTGGAGCATCTTTGTCTTCCCAATCCAGCCCCTCCGTGGCATGCACCACTTCTTTACTGTCACAAAATAGCTGTTTGAAAAGAAGAAAGAGAAATGAACTAGGTTAGAGCCGTGACTGCGCACGCAAACTGAAGTCAAAGCACAAGGGAAATTCTTTCAATATTATGTAGATTCTTGCTCAACAGCATTTCACACACACAGCCTGGCTCAACAGTGTAACAAGATGAGCATTTAATTCAAGAAATATAAACTTGTGAACATGAGAATTAACATGGCGAGGTTAAGAACAAAGTAATTCATTTTAATGGGTTAACGTGGTTTTAGTCTCTGTTTCCTGATATTCACAATTCTGTTTTTTTCCATATTGGAGGAAGTAGTATATTTTGGCCTCTTATTTGATATAATCATTAAATTTGTCAACTCTTTTTTTTTTTTTTTTTGGAGACGGAGTTTCGCTCATTACCCAGGCTGGAGTGCAATGGCGCGATCTCGGCTCACGGCAACCTCCGCCTCCTGGGTTCAGGCAATTTTCCTGCCTCAGCCTCCTCAGTAGCTGGGATTACAGGCATTCGCCACCATGCCCAGCTAATTTTTTGTATCTTTAGTAGAGACGGGGTTTCACCATGTTAGCCAGGATGGTCTCGATCGCTTGACCTCGTGATCCACCCGCCTCGGCCTCCCAAAGTGCTGGGATTACAGGCTTGAGCCACCGTGCCCGGCCCTGTCAACTCTTTTCTTTCAGGTAGAAGACAAAAAGAGAATGCTGAAGGTATCTATCAAGGAGCTAGAAACTGTCTATGATATATATGTCTTTTAAGTATATTTGGAAATATTAAGGGGAGTATTACATTCAAAGGTTTATGCCATGTAATTTTATAGCTTTTTATATAATTCCATCTCAAACTCTGAAACAAAAAAGGCCTGTGATGAGGATTAGAAAGTTCTACAAAAAGTTTTAGCTGAAAAAATATAAGTTAAAATTTAGTTGCCTTAATAAAAACAGAAAGTAAGGTAGAGAGATATATTTTGAATTAATAGGTCGTATATGAGTTAATGCATTTTATTACAACTGAATTATATCCTAAAACAATTGCTAAGAAAATGTCATAGGCATGTGTTTTACGAGTTCCTCAGTATTTTGGTTCAAATCATAGCCACTGAAATGTAAGACTTTATTTGCATTTGATTTTCCTTTTTGTTCTTTGTGTAGTACAAGAGTTCCCATGTTTACCAAAAATAATTTAGTTAAGTAGATATGGATTTTGAGGGACAGAATCATTATATATGATGCTGTTGCATGACGTGAATATTTATGGATGATTTATAAAAAGTCTGGGAAATAGAGGTTTCTAGTGGAAGTACAGCCTCTTATCTCTAATGGCACAAACCACTCTTGTAATGATTATACAGAAAACTGTCAGCATGATGAAATGGATGTGGAAAGTAGTGGGCTGCGTTTATGTACTTTCTCTAGCCCTTTCAAACTTGGCCAAGCAGTTGGTAACAATGGTTTCAGATTATTCCCAAAATCATTGCTTTCAATCCAATTTTGAAAATAAATGAAAGACATAGCTGGCTTATGAATGCTGCACTTAAGTAGATGGTGTAGTGTGATAACACGAGGCTATCTTTTGTATGTTCATAAAAGTTTAGAAGCTCAAATCCTGACAGGAATTTGTGAAAAGCATTTTTACCTATGTCTTGCCCTAAAATGACTTTAGGAATCCAAGGACTCAGCATGTATAGATAGGTTGCTTTAAAATTATTTTTTGCTTTGGTAAGGATGGGAGGGTGCTACCAAATATACTCCTCTCTTTGATTAATTTCCTGAAAGCTTTTTTTCCTCATTTCTGAAGTTTAAAAAAATCCAGAACAAATTGGTATGATACATGTTCATACATTTTGAGAACCTAAATCCATATGGCCTCTTCTTAGGAGCTTATATACCCTGAATTGATACTCCTTTCTCTCTCCTGGTGTTGAAAGGCTGGCATACTCCCCAGGGAAAAAGGGACCATTACTCTGGATTTCTGGCTTAAAGTATTTCTGATACTGTAACTACAGTTTTCTGATTTCGAACACTTTTTTCTCTTTTGTTGATATATAATATTTTACATATTTGTGGGGGTACATGTGAGTATTTGATACATGCATAAAATGTGCAATGATTAAGTCAGAGTATTTAGGGTATACGTCATCTCGGGTATTTACCACTATTATATATTGGGAACATTTCAAGTCCTCCCTTCTAGCTACTTTAAAATATACAATATATTGTTGCTAATTATAGTATAGTCACCCTAGACTGCTGTTGAACACCAGAACTTGTTCTATTTTATTTTTAAAAATTGTATTAATTATTATTTTTTTTTTGGTAGAGATGGGGTCTCAGTTTGATGCCCAGGCTGGTCTCAAGCTGCTGGACCCAAGTGATTCTCCTGCATCGACCTCCCTAAGTGCTGGGATTACAGATGTGAGCCACTGTGGCTGGCCTATAACTTATTTCTTCTATCTAACTGTGTTTGTACTCATTCATCAACCTCTCTTCATTTCTCCCACCCTACCCTCAAATGCTTCCCAGCCTCTGGTACTATAATTCTATTCTCCCTTTCTATGAGATCAAGTTTTTAGCTCCTACATAAGGGTGAGAATATGTGCCTGGCTTATTTTACTTAACACAATGGCTTCCAGTTCTTTTAATACTATTTATTTATTTAATTTTTTTTTAAATTTATTGAGACAGGGACTCACTCTGTCACCCAGGCTGGAGTACAGTGGCATAGCTCACTGCAACCTCAAACTCCTGGGCTCAAGTGATCCTCCCTTCTCAACCTCTAGAATAGCTAGAAACACAGGTGCACACCAGTATGCCTGTTTAATTTTTTTTTTTTTTTAAGACAGTCTCGCTCTATCACCCAGGCTGAAGTGGAGTGGTGCAATCTAGGCTTACAACAACCTCCACCCACCTCCCAAGTTTAAGCATTCCTGCGCATCAACCTCCTAAGTAGCTGGGATGACAGGCATGCACCATCATGCGTGGCTGGTTTTGTATTTTTAATAGGGAAAGGATCTCACCATGTTGGCCAGTCTGGTATCAAACTCCTGGCCTCAAGTGATCTGCCTGACTCAGCCTCCCAAAGTGTCGGGATTACAGGTGTGAGTCACTGAACTCGGCTTAAGTTTTTATTTTTATAGAGATGAAGTCTTGCTATGTTGCTCAGGCTGGTCTTGAACTCCAGCCTCAAGCGATCTTCCTACCTTGGTCTCTCAAAGTGTTGGGATTACAGGAGTGAACCATCATGTCCAGTCTTTTGAACACTGTAACTCTTGATGGGCACAAACCTCATTTCAGTTGTTTGCTAGTAGCCCGTGGAGCTCAACATCCTGAGTCTGCTTCTGACTTGAGTTTCCTGAGAATGGAGATAGCCTCTCTCCATAGGGAGGGCCAAGGACACATGGGTAGATAAGAAGCTCTTGTTGATCAGGGTCTCTTCTGTGATCATGATTCTTGCTGCCCATAGTTTATTACCTATTTTTCACCTGTTTCCAGTATTTCATGAGACTTACCCTGCTTAGTAAATGCTTACAGACATACCTACCATTTGCTGAACACCTGGTTTACAAGAAGAGCTCCCTTACTTCCTAATCTCTACTCCCTGATTCAGTACAGCTTCTGAACTTCTTCCCCTTATTCCCACCTTTCTTCCTCTATTTCATGGGACAGATCCCTTTTGACATTTTCCCCTTTAAGCTTGCTTTTTAAAATATGTCTTTATTTTTACCTTTATATATAATAATATCAATTACTTTATTACTTATACCGTGATACTTTATTAGCAGAACTAAAATACATTTTCCATTCAAAAATATTTTTTTCAACCACAAGTATAAAACTGCTCTTTTATCAGCAGCAACATGCCCTTTTTTTTTTCCTTTAAATTACTTGTTTTATGTTACATGTTTCCCTAAGATTTTTCTGCCTGGATCATTTTTCTTGATTTAGTGCTTTGCCCAATTTCCTCCTCACTTTTCCATTACTGAAAAGCCCGTAAGAATTGAGCCCATCATTCAACAACCAGTACGTTTTGCAGTCATTTAGTCTTAGCTGATCTTCGTGCACTTTCAAATACATGATAGACACCAATATCTTAAGAGATCCTTCTCTTATCTCTACGACTTCCATTGTGATGGTTCTGAGATTGCTCAGTAATAATAACAACAATAATAATTGTAATAATAATAACAATAGGCCATTATGGAGACATTTTTAAAGATCTGAAGACTTTCCTGGTAGTAGTTTGTGTTGTAAGAGAACTTGACCCAAATATATGTGACTCTCTTAAAAAAAAAAAGTAAAAAACATTCTAAGCTTATGAAACAGATAAACCGAGTATCATTATTTGCTTTTACAAAGGCTGTTTTATTCTTTGGAAAAGGTTCTTTATATGGGAATTTGAAATGAAATTAGATTTCTAAAAAAAATCATTCTAACACACTGCTGTTCAGATCCAAACCTCCTCAAAGATCCCTTGATTTTAAGATTAGTCTGTATAATAAAAAATAATAGAAGTTAGCTAATAGCAAAATATATATTGTTTTTCTCTTCCAGGGACAGCATTCATTGGCAGTTTCTTGATTAAAAAATATATATATATATATGCACTAATTCTTTTTAAATTTGGCTTTCCTTAGCACATCATATTTCTAGCTTGTTTTGACAGCAACATTAGCCAAGTTGGAAAAACTGTGTACAACCTCATCTGTTTATTACTTTGAAATACATGGACAGTTCTCACAAGTGCTGACTTCCAAATCTAAACCCAAATCTCAAAAAGCTATCTGATAGTGATTTACTGGTAGAAGAATATAATTTAAAGGGCAAATATATTTCTATATGTCTTTAAAAGCTGACAATTTTATCTCCCTTCCCAATTTTCAGCCTTGGTATAACTTGTTCATCCTTCCTCTTGTTATAAATCATCACTTTAGAATATCACTGTTGAGAGATCAGGCACCCTTTTCTACACCAGGTTTACGTAGATGGTTATATGACCTAAGTCCCTAGTGCAC